ATGCCCCCCCCCCCAGACTAAAGCACAATTCCAGTCGTAAATATTATTCTTATTAGCGGCTAGTTTCCTTGAGTAAGGAATTCATCCCACCGTGCTCTGGTGCAATCATCCTACAAACTAGAACTAAGTCGCTGACTGCGAACAATAGAGATACCTATGTGCCCTGCCATGGCAATGCCAGGTCTAGCAAAACAAATATATCTATGCTGTCTGATGACTAAAATTTACGATTAAAATTCGCTTTCACCTACCTGACAGCTAGCTTAATCAGCACGAAGTGTAAAACTTGAATAGAAATAATGAAATTAGTCCTAGTGATACTAAATGTTGAGAAACGGTCGACTAAAAATATAACTAACAGCATTAACACTTTAAGATCGATCATGTGACTATGTTGCCTGAAATCCTTGTGATTATGATGTTAAACGACCAAAGCATGGTTTCGCTCACCCAGTGCTCTGGGCTTAAGAGCGGGTTATGGCATGTACGTCTGCGGTACGAAAATTAAACTTAACGATATGCAGAGTATATAACAAAATATCGCTGTTCACAAATTCTGATTTAACAAGCACTAATAACAACCACTAACCACCGCAGAAATAATAAAAACAACAAACACTAAGTGGTCAGGAACGCTTAGGGGAACAATATCGCTATGACATTTCAGCAGTGTCATGATCACAATTAAGTACCTAAATTTTCGCATAAATTCATCAAAGGACGGTTCAGGTATTATTTGTTCCTGGTCGTCTGCTTAGTCACCAAGTCTATAAGGCATCGTTTTGACTCAGTGACAGGGAATACGTCTAGTTGTCGTATGGCCTGGTTACAGTACTGTTCGGCTAACTGCTTCGTTCGTAAGATACCATCGCTTTTCTTCACCATGTCGATCACGCTAGGCACATCCTCTTCACTGCAATATCTACTTCGCACCACCTGCTGCAGTTCGGGGTACTTAAACAAAAGAGCAGATCAGCGTAGCTGTCAAAAGAAAGGTACAAATAAACATTTAAGGGAAAAAGAAAGCTGGTTCATACCAGTTTAGCAACAAAAGGGTATTCTGATCAGTGAACAGAAGCGAACATTTCAAAGTAAATGAGTAACTTATGAAGAATATAAGCGCTGAACAAATTAAATGGTTATATGAATCTTTCTACTAAGCTAAACTGAAGCCCACTTTCTACATATAATGCCACAGAAAGTCATGCCAAGAGTAAACTATGAACATAATCAGCTCTTGTTTATGGTGATTATGGAAACAACATAGTACAGAACCACCTGCCATAAGACGGTCCTTCACGACTCCAAAAATGATCGGTTATGAAGATGGATCATGGAAGAGAACGAACTTCGTGCCAACTGGCAATGCGACTTCGTCAAAAAAAGATAGTCTACCATCCAGCACGAAAACACTGCAGTGCACGTTGTCTGTATTTGTGCATAAGCAAAACCCTTACTTTCAAATGCCTACTCTGCAAATTAACGACCATCAGGAAACTTTCATCAATGAACTCATTGAATTTAATCTACCCGTGGTTTTGCTCACAACAACCATACAAAAAAATAACTGAAAAAACTAAAGCATATAGATTACAGAATTTACGAGTCATTTAGTTAGTCTCCAAATAGCATTTTCTGACAACAGTTCCTCCGCAACGGCTGTTAACATCTGTTAAGAAGTCTCTCGTCCCCTACCTGTGAAGCACTACCCGTCACAATTATAGAGTTTCTGTGCATCAGATGTATATGTATGCTGTGCCAATAAATAACTAAGTAATACAAAAAAGGCAAAGAAAGGAAATTTTCTGATCCTTTGATTTCGGTTTCCATGAAAAGAACCATTAGTGGAACTCTCCCTTTAAAGGAGTTTACAATGCAGTGCAGATCTCCGTTTCTACGCAATCAACCAGGTGTGCTATAACGTTCTTGTTGTCTTTAAAAGCTAGGACAAAAGTTTGCCGACCTGTATAGAGGATCTCCTGTTCTGTTTTACGTAAAGTTGAACTAGTCTACCTACCTCAGAAAGAAAGGTGAGTTATTTCACCAAAACTTGAACAAACAACGTTTTCAATGAAAGTTCAGTGCTCTACCAATTGAGCAACTTTCGCTTACACTCACACGGGACACATTTATAGTTACTGCCAAGAAACACATGATCAATAATGTCAAAGACTAACCTGATCACATGCGAACAGCACCGGCCCCGTGCAGATTCCAAGTCGAAGGTCAACGCCTGCTGGCTTGCCCAAATTCTCCTCAGTGGACACAAAATCCAGCACGTCATCCATTAGCTGAAACGCCATCCCGAAATTTTTGCCGAACAAGAAAGCAGCGTCTTGTATCGTTTCTGATGCTCCTGAGCAGATCGCTGTCTAAAACAGTAAGTGAAAAACAACGCAACACAATCACGACGTCAATCTTGCAGGAGTTAGTGCTTTCACCAGAAAAATTAAGCAAAAACAAAATCCGCCCTTCAATCACGTCTTCAACTAGCAATACTCAATTACTTAAGTCACAAGGTACGTGACAAATGGAGTATATCGTATAAGCTGTATCTGTGCGTAACATGTGAGTAGCTACGTTGATAAAACTGGAAGAAGGCTCAAAAAACTTTCGACGGTGGGGGGGGGGCATATAACATACATCAGCAGAAAAGACAGAAAAAGCCAAAATAGTCATGCAGTGAAATTCAAGCAGGATCTTTGGGAGAAAAAACGTGGAAAAAACATTGGATTCTTGAGACATTTACAGCAGACTAGCCCACAGCAGGATGAACAGATATTAAGAAACTGATGCAATTAGCTCAGCTACGCCATAACACATGCACTTGCTAATAAACCCTCTGACGTCGCAATTATTAGTTACTTTGACTGTCGCAGCTTACAATTTATTCTACCTTATCCATACATACAACCTCAATGCTACTTGACGCCGACCCCATATAGTTCAGGTCTTAACCAAAAATACGATTCCGGCACCAACCAAGGTTCGTCCTAAAAATGGGGGCAAAGAGGGTTGGCAACGTCAAATCTAGCTATTCTTCAGCTGGCCTGCAACAACGAGATGGAACACCTTCGCTGATTTGGCTCTGAAATCAAAAGCGGCTACGCACACTGGAAAGCTCATTCGTAAGACACATCTATAAATTTTAATTTCCGCAACAGAAATAAATTAATGGATGAGTTATGTTCTCACCTCACCACAAGGCCAGCATCAGTGTTTCAAAATTTCAGGACAAAAATAAGTCCAGTGTGAAGAATGGCAATTTGACTACAAATCCAGATAGACAGTGACGGCTAGCGTTAATGCATGCAAAAAAATTGCATGCTGCGGGGTGGACCATCTGGACAGAGAAAAACGGCTCAGAAAAGAAACGGAGGCAAGAACGGATGACAGGAGAAAACTTTTCAGTTATTTGATGTCAAAGGAATCTTTTCTTTTCAGTTATTTGATGTCAAAATGTGAGAAATGAGTTAAAGTGCCGCTAGGCAGCACTGTACTGAGGATCGACAGTGGCCTGCTGACACTCACTGAAAGGATGCACAACACAATTATAGAGTGGAGTTACCAGTCAATACCAAGAAGACTAACACTGCTAACAGAAGTTTCCGGTGCATGTCTTCTAAAACTCACAAACTCTCCATTTTTTTAACATTAATGGCTTTGGATATGACACGAGATTTTTCTTTCTCTTGTTATGAAATTTTCCTGATTATGGTTTCTTTGTTGGATGCCGAAACTTCGGATTAAAAAAGAAAGGAAACTCTTGCATCACATCCACAGTTATTCGTACTGAAAAGTTTTAAATAGTTTTGAAGTTTAATAGTTTCAGATAACATAGGCTTGTATCGAAATGGCATCCCCGAGATATGGAATGTCTTCTCACTTAGTCATTCGTTTAACATTGCCATCATTAACATTTTTTGTCAGGTCCATCGTCTGTACGGATAGCTCTCATTTTACAAGGTGCAGTGCACGTTGTAATTATCCACTTTCCCTTTGATTTATCCCCATACACTAATGCCACTTCAATAAACCGCCACTGGAAGCGGCGTAAATTTCCCTTCCTTTTTACGACACTTGCTTCATGCATGTAAGTTAACAAAAATTCCTTATGAAAATAAGCAACACAATTAAATACAAAAATGTTTAACAGCTCTAATACTAACAGTAAAATAATATCAATCAATAATGTTAAGCAGTCACAACAAGTAACAAATATTGCTATACATTAACCTTTATAATGGCCCTAATATTGAAATAGCATGTTACCAATGAAACGAATTTAAACGTTTAAACTGACAGGAAAGATCGACCTACGGCCTTTAGACTATGACTAAAAAGACTGGCAGTCTTCCTATAGGTTTTATTGAGGTACTGAACGAACGCCTTATCGCCATCCTCCACGCTCGTCGACTGCATCAGTTCGCCCTTCACCAGATCTTCTATAACCTGTCGTGTAACGAAGCAGTGATTAAGCAACAAGACGCAGAATATATCACGATCTATACCTGTGAAAGAACCTGAATGACGTCAGCATTGTTTAGCGTGGTAAGAAGCTCGGTCGCTTTTGCCAAAATGTAGTCGCCAAGGAACACCGCCTAATAACTGTGCGTTTCAGTAACAGTAGTGTAGGAAAGATTTAATCAAAGTTTATTAGCTGTCTACTTCTTCCACGATTATGCAAAATGGGTAGTTACAACAATAGGGCAGAACGCAGGATGAGAAGTCGAAGATCACAGGTTTGAAAATTTTTGGCTGGGTCGAGAAGTTTCAGGAACTCTTCCTGCTAAAGTAAGTCTAACGAACGGGACAGACACAACATTATTCTTCTTGCCTCCCATGTCTAAAGGAGACAGAGCCACGTGAGTACAACACTCAAAAAAATTACTGCTCAAATAAGAGTGCAGGTTTCGATCGAGCGAGTAAAACCTCGTAAGATCCACGAATTTTCATCTTAGTTGGGAATGGGGAATTTCTATGATCTGTCTCGCTGGGACAAGTCTGAAGAAGCAAACAAGCATGGGCCTTCCCTCCATTTTGTGGCAGTAAGACAAATAAGTAAAGATGACACATATTAACTGGAAGCACCACAAAACGAAATTCATACTAGCTCAACTGTCACGAACCATCCAACTACTTAATGCCACGACAGACTTCACCCTCTGCGCGTTCGTCACTGACTGACTAATTGTCTGTATTACGCATGAATTTCGACATATCTAAAACTATGGTGAGGTGGTTTATGAAAAATGAGGCAGAGCAGAATGAGATACTATCCAAAAGAATGTATCTACGACATGTTTCTTTTGAATCAGCGATAACGGACAAGCATCACTGAAACTCCATTCAGAGAGATAACGATATAGCGATTATTCTGGGAGTTTTTGAAATGTACCTCTGTCATTTTGCTAATTTAAGTAGCTTAGATAATGCTCTGTGCAGTCCCAATCTTAATGAGACCAATGAGCATTTATCTGACCTGCCCTTCTGCCTAGCGCATTAATCACCATCCGTTATTCATCAGAGGTCCAAATACCTTGGCATGTGCTCTTTCCTAATTAACATCAATACTCTCTTCTGTTGTTCGCAGTGGACTGCTCCCCCCACATCCATTCACCCAAAGCAGACAGAAATATCACATCAAACTTTCATCATGCCCAACAACTAAAAAATATTCACAAAACTCAGTTTCGGAGTAGAGCAACTGGAGGCAAAAGACAGATTAGCATCTTACCATTAAATCACCACCAACACTCACCAATCTTGCCCCTTTAAGCTTGCTAACTGTAGCTCTTCCGCGCCTTTGGTCAGACTCGTCGATGATGTCGTCGTGAATCAGAGACGAGGTATGGATCATTTCGGCGATCATGGCGATTTTGTACTGTGAGGTTTGCACTGTTTTACTGAAAAGTGAAAGTTTTGTCGTCGATAAATTGTGATCTACTAATTACCTACTCATCGAGCAGCCCTGTCTGCCAGTTGCACAAATCTGCCATGAGCAAGATGATCGTCGGACGAAGCATTTTTCCGCTACCGGACACCGCATATGACGTCCACCGATTTATCGACCCTTCGTCGGCCGTCGTCTTCAGCGCCTAAAAGCATACGTTTAGCTACAGCACGAGTGACAGTTGTGCCTGCTCATCTCACGAATATCCGGCACCAAACGCTGCAAGCATGCTCCTATACCCGAGGGCAAATCAACGGACTTCGTAAACGCATCACTGAATGGTTCTGCGGAGAGGGAACGCTACAATGGCAACAAACGTTATAGAGGCGTTCTTAATTTGCATATAACAAAACAGCAAATAATATACAAATAGCATAGCATCAACTCATTTCACAGGTACAAAGCACCTGTTAGTTTATCAAAGTTTAATTATTACTGCTACAGGTATCAGGTTCAGTTCTGATTTAGATTTGTGATGTCGAATTTGATTACCAGTAATGAAGATTACTACCCAGGCAGAACTTTAAAACAAAATATCACACATCAGTGCATTCCATACTCAAAAAGCAGAGGCAGTGATTTGTATGACATTATATTTTATATGACTAGAAGGGTAACGTAAAGTCCTACTGACGTGTAAGAAAAGCGTCTTGGTTCGCGATGTCATCAGAACTGCATATTGATCATTTCTATCAGTCTAGCGGCATAACTTCGGTTTTGCAATACTAATTAATTCGGACAGTCATTTAAAATTCTTTCTTTTGGTACAGCCAAAATGTCACAATTTAAGTCTCTGAAATCAGATCTTGCAAAAGTAATGCATTATTTGACATACTCAGGCATATAAACATCTTGTGATGTATATGCGGTAGCATATATGGTCCTCCAGCTCCTGAGACCTCGTTCGTGATGAGGGTGAGACAGTTCTGGCGAACTAAATGATGTAAGATGCATCTGGCACAGCAGATGCTCAAATATAACGATCCTGTCGCCTGAGTAAAAGCCTTCTAGAAGCAAGGGGGTGGCGTAACATGCCGTGAAATGTGGAAGTGGAGGTGATATTCGCCAATTTACGCTTGAACATTCTTCAATACCAGTCGTGCCATACACCTTAAACGTTGGCACCATGCACTGATCTTTTATGAACTCTCCTCGACGGGGCATAATGCCGCTAGTTCACCTAAAATAATTTCAGTGCGCAAGAGAACACGGCTCCACTTGTCAGCGGTCCAAACTTACCACCACAGGTTTACCCTTTACGCCTGGTTGTCCTGTTGAAATATGTCTTAAATGAAAATATGCCATTATCTCTCCCACTACGAAGTTACTCCATCTGGAAGTTCCATGGTCAATGAGAATTTTTCTTTTGAATATACTTTATCTCGTTTAGATGGCTCGACAGACCAGCTGATGTGATGTTTATTAGTTATTCAATGTGAAATAACAGAATTTATTACGTTCATTAACATCATCAGCCTTTTTCGATTCACTGATGGATAAAGGCTTTCCAAGACTTTGCTATAAACTCCTGTTTCCTGTGAATTTCATCTATCGTGATTCTCGAATTCTTTAACTCATGGTGTCATCGATCGTTCGCTACCTCCTGGAAACCTTGTCTAATATCTCTCAGCTCCAGCGATAAATTAATGTTCAACTGATTCATTCGCTTACTACAAGCAAGTAACACGCCTCATTTGTAATTCAGACTTTAGATTAATTTTCCACAACATCGATGGAATATAAAAGAAAAAGGAATGTTTCTCACCATTGAAATGTCTGTTTCATGAAGATGACAGTGCGGTGCTTATCTCCTTTCTGTGCCATCAGCTAGAAATACCTTACTTCTTAAGGAAAAGTCTACAGCCATGTGGTAAAAAAAATGTGGTCTCCCGTTTCCTTCTCACAGGGTGATACTCATTTGCCTACTTCAGAAGAAGAGCAAGTGATCCCGACCAAAACTTGAACTCGAGACCTATCAGTTGAATTCGACACCCTTACGACTGAGCAACCCCGGTCAGAAAGAATGTGTGAAATATTCCTTACTCAAGGGAATTCACGCCAACACACCAGGATGAATTATAACATAATCATCTATTAATGAAAGAAAAAATAATTGAACCTTAAAGCACGATAAACTTACTTTAAATTGGCGTACGGGAGGCAGGTAGCGAGAGAGAAACCGGGCACTGCTTAAATTCCTTAAGACAGCGTCGGTCACGGCTTTACAACAGGTAAACCGTAAGCGATTCATCCATGCATCACCGGGGTGAGTAAACCTCTAAATTAAGCACAACATTAGTTTCACACAAAATGGTGGAAGAATATGTCGATGTCGAATTTACCCTTTGGTAGCAAATTCACGCGCAAAAACAAATTCAGTGGTGCTGTACAAGTTTGTAGCCATTGTTGTGTACGGTCTTCGTGACAGATGCATGCCAGAGCCATTCTGGCGCTTTCCATTAAGGTAATGATAGGGGAGTTGATCATCATTTCTGTCATCGGCTAGGAATGGCTCATTTTAAAGGCAGAGTCGATATCAGCTGTGACTAGCATAGCGTGTAGTCTTCTGTTCCCTTCTTACAGCGTGGTATTCATTTATGAATCCCCAGAATGAAGAAAGACAAATGATCAAACCGAGCTCGAACACGGTTCAGAGTTTCATGTTCTACAAACAGAACAACCTGACTGAAGCAGTGTGGTAAATTCCTTGTTCAAATGAATTTGCGGGTAACACAAAGATTGCCCTCCGGCGCAATCGAATCGCGACCTTCGAATTTCGAAGCCGATCTCTTTTGCACTTGG